GAAAGAAAGAAAGAGTTAGAAGGAAGTGCAATAGAATATATAGAAAGAAATAAAGAACAATAAAGTACTTAGAAAGAGGGCACATGGTAGAAGTAATGCATATTATATATTAAAGAAGTGATTGTATCAAGTTAAGTAAAATAAAACTACTTATAGTATCTATGGTTAAAGAGTAAGAGAAGAAGGAATTAGTGACAAATATTTAATAATTTATGGTTCAAATACATAATAACAATAGTAGTATTAAAATGAAATTGAAATAAATTCTATTTTTATTTATAGAAAAATAACACTAAAATTAAAGAAAATACTTATTATTCACATACTGTAAGACATAACTAATATTTTATTTTTAATAAACCATGGCTACTTCACATATACTAAATTTATAATATGTGGTATGTGCAAATTAGTTTCTTGAACAATATTCTGTATACAGAAAGAAAAAACTGACCAATGAATTCTATTTTTATAAATATAACCCGAAATAGACTTGGCTAAACATAATAAAATATATAGAATATATATGTCATTAGAAAATTCTAAATAAAAATGACATTTCATGTTTAACTGATTGGTTATTTTGTTCTATAGCATCTCTAAACTATAAAATATTTCAAACTATATAAGAATTTACGATTTATTAAAATGTAAGAACAATATGAAGCAGTTAAGAAAAAAATGTATTACATTTGGACTGATGTTTATAATAAGTATAGAAATTGTAATTTGCGGGGGGTTTGAATCAATGTATAAGAAAAATTCAAGTACAACAAATAATCCAAGCACAAGTAGTACACCATTGCTGTGGGGTATGCATAACAATTATAGTTCTGTTTCATCTGACAATACTAACCAACCTATGCAAGCAGATGACCAGCCATTAGATCTATCTAATCCAAATAAAAGACTCCGTGATACAGACAACAATACTCAAAATTCTAACGCTATCAAAAGAGCTCGTTATATGGGTATGAATAACTCGTCAATACATATAATTCCAAAAACAATAATAGATCTAACATCAGAGCCGGCCCCAGAAATGCCTTTAAAAGAAACTTCAGAACTAACCACATCCACTACTATTAATCCTCTTAGAGTTGATTCTAACAGTAAGTTGGTTATAGCCAGTG